GGTGACTTTATATATATAGGTGATGGAAGCAAGGTTTTCCTTGAGCTAATTATCTTTAAAAGAAAGAAACAAACAGAGCCCTGAACTCTTCGTTCCTTGCCTAAGTGTCCACCGATCCCTGCCTGTTACTAGGAGGGAAGGTCATCTCGGTGGTGACCGGAGACAGTCTCCTTGCACGACACCGCCCTACGTCAGCAGTGGCTGCTTTTCCATGTTCTGCTTCCCACGGAACCTTGCTCTTCCTCCCGGTCCCCAAACCCCGGGGAAGTCCGGGTGGCATTTGAGAATGTGACACCATGATCTGGAGGCCGGTTTGTGAATGAACCACCGTGCGGAGGGAATGCGCGGGGTTTCTGACGAGGCGGCTGTGAAGGTAGGACCATTCGTTAGCGGTCGGAAGCTCAGATGTGCCTGTGAGAATGGACCCTCCCAGCCTGTCTGATTGGTCTCTCGGGGCTGTTCTGTGGCGGAGCTGCGATCCCGCACCTAAAACGCTCTGTCAATTCTCGAGCTCAACGCGTTAGTGTTGCTCACAGAAAGGAAAGGGAATCGGAGTTTTTAAAAACAGCAGAAAGCCATTTCTGGGAGTTTTTGTTGGTTTGTTTCAAGCCACCCATGAATTGTCATCCGGGCTGCTTCCGTATAAGTGTTTGTGCCTTGCGGGGGTTGTTACCATTCATTATTATTTTAAATCAGAAAGAGTCTAGAACAGTGGTTCTCAACCTGTGGGTCGAGACCCCTTTGGGGGTCGAACGACCCTTTCACAGGGGTCGCCTAAGACCATCGGAAAACACATCTATAATGACATATTGTTTTTGTGATGAATTACTATGCTTTAATGATGTTCAGTTTGTAACAATGAAATTGGGGGTCACCACAACATGAGGAACTGTATTCAAGGGTCGCGGCATGAGGAAGGTTGAGAACCACTGGTCTAGAAGTTCTGGGTTTAAATGTGGAAGGGAGCTGAGAAATCATCCAGTTGCCTTGTTTAGGGATAAGATGGGAAAACCCTGGAAAATGCAGTTATCTGTCCAGGGTCCCGGAGCTCAGCTAGACGGGCAACCTCATTTGGCTCCGTAAGGATTTGCTTTAGGAAAAACCGCATTTAAAAGGTGTGAATTGTTCTTTTATTCATCCTTGCCGTCTTCCTTGAGTCAGTGCTGTCACCCGGTAATCCTAAAGTTTCTATCAGCTGGGACAGGCCCAAGCCACCATCTTCGTGTTGCTGGGAGAAGTCCTTGTTCTCCGATGAATGGTTGCCTGTGCTTGCTTTATTTCGAACAGATAAAAAGTTTTATTCTGCTTTTCCATGTCACACTGGCATAATCTGGAGTGATTTCGTTACGTGGCGAGCCATGCTCTTATGAAGCGGTATCCTGAGACCGGAGTGAAAAATTGCTTTCTGAGTTAGTATCGTTATCAGTTTTATTGGCCCTGAAACGGAGTGGAAGGATCCAGGAATGATGGGGTAATCAACACGAATTAAATCCCCAGGGAGCTCACATCAGTCCTGGCGTCAAACGGGGGGCGCCATGACTTCCACATCTGTGCCTCCATCCACTTTAATCGGGTCTAAATTATGCTGTGAAGACTTCGTTTTGCTACATTTCCTTGCTCCGACATAGCAGACGTTCTGTTCGTCTCTGGTTCCTTCTTGAAACATGCACACATTCTCACTGTTTCTAGGGAACAGTTGCCTAACTTGATTGCCATCCAAATATTCAGAGTTGCTGTTATGTCGATAACTAATAAGTATAATATTATCACGGTGCAGTGTTCAATGTGTACTCTGGGTAATGGAATCCAGAATACTGAGCCCTCAACCCACATCGATAAATGCCATATTCCCCAACTCATTGTTGTGTCTTCACAAAACGAGGTTCAAGTGGTATCTCGTTAGTATAAATTTGCTGTAATAAGCAGTATATGGCGCTATTGGTGTGGCAGAAATATTACTATAGTAATGAGCCCGGTCTTCACTGTATTTCCTAAGAGACACTGCTTTTGTAGTGAAAAATCTGTTTAGCCTAATAAATGGTAACAGTAATCACCTTCCCTTTCTTCCCCCAGATATCTCTTTTTTTAAAATATACAGTTTTTAATTGATTTCAGAGAGGGAGAGAGAGGGAGGGAGAGATAGAAACATCGGGGATGAGAGAGAATCACTGATTGGCTGCCTCCTGCACACCCCCACTGGGGATGGAGCCCGAAACCCAGGCATGTGCCCTGGCCGGGAATCAAACCGTGACCTCCTGGTTCATAGGTCGGCGCTCTACCACTGAGCCACGCCGGCCGGGCCCAGGTACCTCTTAGATATGTGACCGTTAATACACTGAATGGTCCAGCACTAAGTTCACAAACAACATCCATTTGGAAACCTTTGATTTCCCTTGTCGAATTTTTTGTGTTCTTTCCGACTGAAACATTTGTCTTCGCCTGGTTCTTGTGCTCTGAGCTCTTTCTCTATGAATCCTCAGATTCTTGGTGTTTTCTGTTTGTTTGGTTTTGGTGTGACTCACTGGGGCCCAGGAATGTACGTGGCCTTGCGCCTGCATCGGGGGTTCCGTGGAGCTTGACTGCTCGTCCTGAGAGCGGACGCTGGGGAGGTTTCCAAGAAACTGGCTGCTGTCTTGGTAACGAAGACCAGAGCTGTCCCTGCACTGGGGACTGCTTGCTGGCCCTCGAGTCCCCCCCGAAGCCGGGGCCGTAAGTTAGAGAAATCACAGTTCAATTCTCTGGAAGTTTATGTTACTAACTTACGGCTTAGCTGTTGGCCAAGCGATGTTATCTGTTGTTATTCTTAAAGTCAGCAGTCATTTGCAAAGACACTTAATTCTGGGGCAGATTAGGGGGGGAAATAGCTTGAATATTTTTGGAAATGACGGTGGCTCTCGGAAATTAGGAGATTGCCTTTTTATGAAGTTGTATTTTTCGGTTCTTTAGGGAACTGATGGAAAAGGAATAACCTACATTTATTGTGCACTTACCACGTGCCTGTCATGCTTTATGTGTGTTTCCATCTCTCTTACATTTCACAATAGAGAAAACAGACCAATAGGACTCTCTCTCTCTCTCTCTCTCTCTCTCTCTCTCTCTCTCTCTCACACACACACACACACACACACACACACACACACACTCATAAGGAATTGGCTCATGCATTTATAGACGCTGAGAAGTCCAAGATCTACTGTTGGCAGCTGGAGAGACCCAGGAGAGCCGATGGTGTAAGTTCCAGTCCGAGTCAAGGGAAGACGGATGTCCCGGCTTGAAGCCAGGCAGGCAGAGAGCGTGTATTCTCCCTTCCCCAGCCTCTATTCTGCGCAGGCCCTCAACGGATTAGCTGCGGCCCACCACATGCAGGAGGGCAATCTGCTTTACCCAGTCAACCACTCACATGTTAATCTCACCCAGAATGACCCTCACAGACACCCCAGGAATACTGTTGGGTCAAATATCTGGGCATCCCATGGCCAGCCAAGTTGACACAGGAAATGAACCATCACAAAGACCCGCTCTTGTCTATAAGTGCTGCACTCCATGGCATTCAGGAACAAGTGCTAGGGGACGCCACTTCTGAGGACATTAAAATGGAACGTCCCGTCCTCCATCTGACCCCCAAAACATACATGTTGGAAATCACCCCATGAGCTCCTCTCCCTTCTCCAGGCTGTGGCTATTTGGATCCAAAGCAGTCACAGAATTTGAAGAATGGGAGGGAGACGGCTCGATTTCAGGACTGCAGGATCCTAGGATAAGATTGTTCATGGGCAGCAGGCATGTTACTCTCCACTCCTCTCCCCCAGCCCCGAGGCCAGCCCGCCTCCTTAGTGGACACGTTATCTGATGGGGCTGCCCATCAACATTACAGAAAGACACCAGGAGAACAGCTCCACAGAAAAAAAATGGCCCAGGCTGGGACCCGATCCGCTTGGGGGCAATTTGCAAAGTGGAATCGAAGCTCGCTCAAGCCCCAGAAAATTACTATCTTGCTCGGTGGGATTAGTTGTCCAAAATGAAGAATATTTTTCTCCTTATGCTGCTCCACCTTCCAATTGCTTTCCTTTCACTGCTTGTTCTCATGCCCTTCTTCGCCAGCGGCCAGCAGCATCCTGATCATCAACACAGGCCCGGGCAGGGACACAGAGTCAGGGGGTAACTATGGTTACGTGAAAGCAGAGACTGGACGGGGATGTCCTTTTAAAGGGGCAGGGATATGTAAAGGAAGAGTACGAATTGGATTCACGAGGAAGCTCTGCTGTTCTCACATCCTGATCGTCATCATTTATTTATTAGGGCAGGGGTCATTTTTCTGATAGATTTGAGGCCGGATCTTTATCTCTCCCTTGACTTATCTGTTCTTCTCTGAGAGAGAACAGTTTTGTGGCCCAGGGTGGTAAGGGTCTGTGCCCAGGACCCAGCAGTCAGCATGGCTCATGTGTTCGCAGGCGGTGACTGGTCAGAAAGCACGTGTTGGGGCAGGAGGGGGTGCACACAGATGTCTCAGCGGAATCCCTGGCATACACCCACCTCTGGCCCCACATTGGAGAGGGAGGAGGAGGGCTGGGGTGCCTGGGGATGTGGATTGGAAGAAGGTTGTAAAAATGTGAAGAGAGCAGTCCATTTAGATTAGGAGACAGATTGTCCTCGAAGGGCGGGTAAGATTTCTACAGGCAGAACCAGCTGTGGAGGGAGGCCTGGCCGGCGTCAGCATTTCGTCCAGCTGTTGAGGCAGTTCCTTTTGTGGCTTATGTGTCCTCATCTCCCCCCTTGAAAAGCGACCTCAGCCATGGAACTGAAACGCTAATGAGCGCCGTTCTAAGCGAGGAGCGAAGAGCAGGGTGAGATGTGCACCAGAGCGCTACGTTCCTGGCTCTCTGGTGGGTGCGGCTGGGTGGGCCATGGTGTCGGGGAGAACACAGTAGCTGTCGCTTAGCTGGGAAGACCCTCGGCGCTGGAATGTGTTGGGACACCTTTTCTGCTCTCTGTCCATGTAGGGTTCGATGACCTCCAGGTGTGCGCTGACCCCGGCGTCCCCGAGAATGGCTTCCGGACGCCCAGCGGAGGGGTTTTCTTCGAAGGCTCCGTCTCCCGCTATCATTGCCAGGACGGATTCAAGCTGAAGGGCTCTACGAAGAGACTGTGTGTGAAGCATCTCAATGGGACCCTGGGATGGATCCCGAGCGATAGATCCATCTGTGTGCAAGAAGGTAAAGTGCTCACACCCGCCCCCTCCCCCTCCCATGGAAACCTCTCACCTGGTCAGTGTCTGCGTTGTGGCCAGCTTGCGTTGCCATGGCTGCCGGGGTCCAAGGCTGCGGGTGCCAGAGGGGTCAGTGCCCGGGGATGCTGTCCTCGTTTCCGAGCTAGTCCTGCACGCTGACGGAAAAGCACGCGTGCGTGATGAGGGCTGGGGCACATCCATTCATCTCAGCGTTAGAAGTAATCATCTCCCCTCTCGATCTCAATGACCATCCAATTCATCACCGTTGTTGTCGGTGCAGGAGAGAAGCTCAGATCACATTAGGGCTGTTTATGACCGGGCTGCCAACTCCACACTCATTTCCATGTTACTCCATAAAAAGCACAGTAGATTATTGGGGAAAAACTATATATAAATGATACAGACAATGTCTGATTCAGAGGATTAAATCAATGACTACTTATCAGTTCTCTGTTAGACGTGATTCATTGAAGGAAAGAAACAGCTGTGACGAGCAATGACAGGTTGACAAGGGAGACATTTATTCTAGCAACCACCCCTCAATTTATTGGTCATGATAAGATATTCTTTTTTTCCCTTTTTAAAAAAAATATATTTTTTACTGACTTCAGAGAGGAAGGGAGAGGGAGAGATAGAAACATCAATGATGAGAGAGAATCATTGATTGGTTGCCTCCTGCACGCCCCCTACTGGGGATCGAGCTGGAAAGGAGCTGAGCCACACTCTTAGCAGTTAGCTCCAGTGTTTGCTTAGGGGCTGTGTAAGTGGGGTGGGGAGGGTGGCCGTGTTGGGTCAGTCCTTTTATTATGCAAAGTGAAATAAGGCCACATGTTTCCAAAGGACCTGCATTCTGGTCCAAATGGTAAGCTCTCATTGTATTTTTTAAAAAATATATATTTTATTGATTTTTTACAGAGAGGAAGGGAGAGGGATAGAGAGTTAGAAACATCGATGAGAGAGAAACATCGATCAGCTGCCTCCCGCACACTCCCTACTGAGGATGTGCCCACAACCAAGGTACATGCCCTTGACCGGAATCGAACCTGGGACCCTTGAGTTCGCTTGCCGACGCTCTATCCACTGAGCCACACCGGTCAGGGCACTCATTGTATTTTTTAGAAAGCTTGGGAGAACAGGCATTGCCGTCCTAAGTATGAAGGTCTGTTGATTTTTAATATTAATGGTAATTTTGTTGGCCTTTGAGAGATCTGTGTAAAGAGATTGCCTTTGTTGCCCTGATGGTGGAGAAAATCATCGTTGCCAACGTCGTAATAACCATTCTCTGTTCCACGTAGTTTATAGGGGGGGCGGGGACACCCAGAAGTTTCTGCCCTGGGTGTCATGTAGCAGTGAGGAAGCTGAAAATTTCCCCCCCTTGATTTATAAATAGCTTTTACTCCCTGATCAGAATTAATGCTGGGAAGAGTAAGGGCTGCTGAATCCATTTGTATCCCTTGTCAGGTCATTCTTAGAAGGCTAATGAATCCTTGCGTGGTGGTAATAGTAATCACAGTAATGAATTAGCTCATTTTTATAGGTTATTACGGAGTAAAACTTCATGCTCGCGATCTCATCTGATAGGCACAGCCTCCCCCACAAGATGAGTCGTACTGTTCTCATTAGGGAACTGAGGCTCAGAGAGGTTCACCTACTTCGTCAAGGTCACACAGCTGATGAGTAACTGGCAGAGCTGGAACTGCTTCTCAGCCAGTATTCCCCCCCCCGCCTCTCCCCCACAAGGTCATGTCTAACTTTCTTTGTGTCGCAAAAGCCCATTCTAATCAGTTATAAAATAGCACAGTGTCACTGTGAATGACACCATCAAAGTTCAGGGTGGAAGGGATGTATAGAAATCTTACGCTCCAAGTCCTTATTCTGGTTTAGTTCTGCCTGAGATGCAGATGTAAAGAAATTAAGTTTATGTGCATTACAATGCTTCGTAATAGGAAAGTGCTCTACAAAAGCCGGGTGGTTAGTAGGCACTCGTTTTCTTGTTCGTTTCCACAGATTTCCTCTTTTATTCCCCACTTCACTCTGCCGCGTGTCTCAGCCATCTTCCTTCTCTCACGGCCCCTTTATTCCCATCGAAACTGGTTTATTCCCAGTAAACTCGGTGCATAGAAGTTTGAACTCACGGGATTGATAATACGAGCACTGGATGAACTTCACGGCACCCAAAGCCTCCAACCCAGAGATGCACAGGGAGGTGTCTACTTCTCCGAGCTTCTTTCCTCAGACCAGAGCCTGCCCATCCCTACGCAGGGGTGGGGATGCTTGTGGTCCAGGGAGCAGGGGAGGCGGCCAGTAAGGTGGAGAGGAGACCCTGGAGTTGGCAAAGGCCTGAAAATATGCCCCGTGGGCACAGGGCTGCCGATGTGAGTACAGTGACCAAAAGCCAGGTGACAGCCTCCGTTCAGGCCTCTTCCTTTCTAAACCCACTCAGCTGGGTCTCCTGGGGTCACTTTCCCTGGGTAAATGCAATCTATATACTATATATATAAAAGCCTAAGCAACTGTTACAACCCGTCTACCAGTTGCTATGATGCGCACTGACCACCAGGGGGCAGACGCTCAATGCAGGAGTTGCCCTCTGGTGGTCAGTGCACTCCCACAGCCAACCTCCCACGGTCCCTCCCACCAGCTGGCCAACCTCCCGTGGCCCCTCTTCCTACCCCCCTCCACCCCTGCTGGCCAGCCCCCATGGACCCCAATCAGTGTGGCCAGGCTGAGGGACCCCACCCATGCACAAATTCGTGCACTGGGCCTCTAGTCCTTTCATAAGAAAAGATGGCCGTGAAGGAAGGTTGACTCTACATGAAGGCCCTTTACAGACACTTAACACGTCAAATCAGAACGTGGACAGACAAGTCCCAGCTGCACACCCCAACGGGCAGGGGCAGCGTAGCCGTGAGTCAGACTACAGTGTGCGCGGATAGAGACGTCGTATTTAAAAAAAACCCCAATGGCCCAAAGCGACTAAAGTGAAATGAATTCACATCCATTTGTGTTATGAACAGCCGGAACCTTTTCATTATCAATATTAATGGGAAGATTTCATTACTTAACCATCCCTGGGTACAGCTGGGATGCAGACTACATTCAGCAACCAGAGCATTCGTTATACTGGCTGCAGAGCAGTTTTGGGTTTTGGGGTGTGTGTGTGTGTTTAAAGAGACAGAATAAATCATGGCGCATGGTTCCTGGGTGGGGCGAGAGCCTCCCCTGGGGTATGAGACAACATTCCACAGCTCCCAGGCCCCTCGTCCCTGAGGATTCTCACTCTTGGGGCAGGTGTTTGGATATTGGGAAGGTCAGACGCCTCTAGCTGGAGCTTTGGCCTCTGGGTGGACTCAGGGTGTCCCTGGAGCACCTTGGGGTGCAGAAACAGAACTTCCCTTTTCCTCTTTGACTTGCCCCCTGGAGTTGCCCTTGAGGAGGGAGGGAGAGCGAGAGCCGTGGCACTCCCGTTCCCATGCAGCGGGGTTGTCTATTGCAGGACTGTTTTCCCCTCAGCGCTCTTCTCTGTTCTCCTCACCTTCTCCCTCGAGCAGCTCTGCGAACGGTCGCTGGTCCCATTGGTTCCTTGCTGGGAGTCAGCTGCAGAGAAATCCACGCTAAGCCAATAAGAAGGGATTTGGGGGAAGCTGGAGTCCACAGATCTCACAGCCAGCCTGAGTGGGAATCTTCCAGAATGGGTTGCAGACCAGCTCCGGGCGCTGGCGTAAGGCTATTAGCAGAGCGTCGGTCGCCCCCAGAGCCCGTGGTTTGAGAATGAGCTGGCTGAGCCGAGGGCTTTCCCAGGAAATCCGTCCTCTGGTTGGCGGTCAACTCCTTTTGGGTGGAGAGACGCGAAGCAGGCTCCGTTCCCTTTCCAGATGAGAAAGGAGGGGGCTCAGGGAGACTCAGTTTCCCTCGGTCTCACGGGAAGCCAGGGCAGACTTTGGGTTCAGACCCAGGCCTGACCCCAGGTGAGGTTTCCCAGGGAAAGGGAGGGGGGCGGCTGATACATCATTGTGGCCCAGACCCAGGCCCATAGGGGAGGCATCTTGCTCTAAGTCACCCGTTCTCATGGGGCTCTGGTTCCCAAAGTGGGTGCCACGGAACTGCCTGCATCAAGGACTTGCTGAAAACACACCCAGGCCTCCCGAGTTAGAACGTTGGCAGTGAGGCCAACGGCTGCATGGTTTTTATTTGTTGTTGTTGTTAATCCTCACCTGAGGATATTTTCCCATTGACTTTAAGACAGAATGGAAGGGAGAGAGAGAGAGAGAAACATCGACGTGAGAGAGATACATTGATTGGTTGCCTTCGCACACACCCCGGCCAGGGGTGCAGATCCAGCCTGCAACCGAGGTACATGCCTTTGACCGGAATTGAACCTGGGACCCTTCAGTCCCCAGGCCAGTGCTCTTTCCACTGAGCCAAACCGGCTCGGACTGCGTGTTTGTTTTTTTTTAAAAAAAAACTCCCAACTGATTCTTCATCAGAAAAGAGTTTGAGACCCAGTCATGCAGGGAGATGGCCTGGCACCGCTTTGCAAGAGGAAAGAGAACACGATTTTCTCCCGTGTTAGACGGCGCTCTGGGGAGATCATTCATTCCTGGCACCAGACAATGTCAGCGTTGCCTCCTTACGACACCCTGCAGGGTTTCAGTGGCTCACAGCAGTCACATGGCAAGTGAACTGGGACTGGGACCCACATTCTGACCCGTGGTTCAGTGCTCTTTCTACTATACTGGAGGTCTGCAACCCAGGCCGCAGGTCAGCGTCGCCTGGGGAACTTCTAGAAGTAACGGCGCCTGGAACTGTCGCCAAGAGATTTAATTTTAATTGTCGGGGCAGTGGGAGCTCAAACATCGGTATTTCTGGAAGCTCCCAGGGGAGTGCCTGTTACCCCGGTTTCCTGCATTTTGGGGTCCATCTCCTTCATTGTCTGGGTGGTGCTGAAGGTCACCTATTGCACAGGAGAGCGGCCCCTGTTCTTCCACAACTTGCTAAGTCTCCATGCGTAACCCCTCCGCTCCCCAGTTCTTCACACAGCGCCACAGGGAAGTAACTGAATTCATTCAGCAAGCATTATTTTTAAGTCCTTCCTAAAATATTGTGAGGCCCATTGACCTGACCAGGATTGCTATGCAAGATGAATAATTGGATGTTAAGAAGTTTCTGCCTTAGCTGGTTTGGCTCAGTGGATAGAGCGTCGGCCTGCAGACTGAAGGGGCCTGGGTTCGATTCAGGTCAAGGGCACATGCCTGGGTTGCGGGCTCGATCCCCAGTAGGAGGCCTGCAGGAGGCTCCCTCATCATTCTCTTGACCCATGATTCTCTCTCATCATTGATGTTTCTCTCTCTCCCTCTCCCTTCCTCTCTGAAATCAGTACAAATATATTTAAAGAAAAAGGAAGTTTCTTTGAGCGCTGGCCTGTGTGGCTCAGTTGGTTGGGCATCATCGCGTGCACTGAAAGGTCCCGGGTTCGATTCCTGGTCAGGGCGCATGCCCAGGTTGCTGGCTCGGTCCCTGCAGGAGGCAGCCGATCGATGTTTCATTCTCACACCAATGTTTCTCTCTCTCCCTTCCTCTCTCTCTCAAAATCAATTAAACATCTTTTTTTAAAAAAAGAAGTTTCTTTGAGCTTCCTGGGGGAAAAGGTGCAATGTGAGTTTAAGTATTGCTATTATCTTGTACATTTTTTAAAAAGTATATTTTATTGATTTTTTCACAGAGAGGAAGGGAGAGGGATAGAGAGTTAGAAACATTGATGAGAGAGAAACATCCATCAGCTGCCTCCTGCACACTCCCCACTGGGGATGTGCCCGCAACCACGGTACATGCCCTTGACCGGAATCGAACCTGGGACCCTTGAGTCCGCAGGCTGACGCTCTACCCACTGAGCCACACCGGTCAGGGCTATCTTGTACATTTTTAATTAAAAGATTTCAACTTGACTCATGAGCTAAAGGTGGCTGTAAGGATGGGAGATCGCTCCTTTATTCATTGAGACGGTGGGTGGTGCGGGCATTTTTCAAAAGCAGGCGAGTTATACTCATCTTTCAGAGTCACTCCTGTGCAAAAGTGGGTTGTCTCCCAGCGCAGACCCTTCACCAAAACAAAATAGATGCTTTACACACGTTTTATTTATAACCCCTTCCTTCTCACGTGCATTTTCTATCATCTAAAATTTCTTCCTTGGTGCCTCAGACGAGTTATCAGAAGCAGCAGCCTGTGCCCACGCGGGCACGCATTTGCAGGCCTCCCCCTAAGATATTCTCTCCTCGTTTTCCGTCTTCTGAGATAAGGGGGAGCCAAGGGGTGCCCCTCCCTGCCTCCAGCATTTCTTCTTTGCGCTCCTTGTCACAGGAGTCACTGCCTCCCTCCCCTCCCTCCCTTGTGGCTTTGGTGTGCGTTTGGTTTTGCTCTTAAAAAGATTTCTTTCGCTTCAATGTGGTCACGACTTGAAAGGGGAGGGGAAAAAAAAACATATCCAGCGGAAATAAGTTCGGGTCAGAACAGGGCAGCTGCGGCAAGATCAGTGGCAGAAATGATCAGCGATCGCCGTGATGAGGTGACAGCCGACTGCCCCAGACGAGGGCTCCCCCGTCCGTGCCACCGGCCCCGCGTACGTGCAGAGGGGAACTCCCAACCAGGGCCGCCTTTACCAGCTGCCTCCTGCCAGCTCCCGTGCTCCCGGGGGCACGGAGATCGCACCCTTTCTTTCTCTCCAGGGGCCATGGAGGCAGGGAGTTGCTCTAAGTCACAGAATTATTAGGCAGATGCAGAAAAACAGCATCGGCACCGGGAGAGGTCCCTGTCGGCTCATGTATAAAGGCCGCGAGGTGATGGTTGGCAGCCTCGAGCGCCAAGCTGACGGTGACAGTTCCCCAGAAAGCAGCCATTCACAAGCTCCCACCAGAAACGACCCAGAGTTACTTGTAGGTTGGCTGCGTGTGAAAAATGCAGGCCCGCCCCACGGGCGCCCTTCCGAACCTCCTGCAGGTGGAACTCTTCTCTCAGGCCGGCCTGGAGCAGTTCGGGGCTGGTCAGGGCTCCCCAGTCAGCCTGGGAGCGTCCTGTAGCTAATGAAGAGCTCCCCGAACCCCACGATGGGCCTTGGGGTGCCAGGCCTCGGGTGCAGAGCTGCCGCGCAGATGGGATTCTGTCCTTTTTTATTTTTTATTTATTTTTGAAATATATATATATTTAAATTGATTTCAGAGAGGAAAGGAGAGGGAGAGTCAGAAACATCAACGATGAGAGAGAATCACTGATCAGCTGCCTCCTGCACGCCCCTCCACCCTCACTGGGGACCAAGCCCGCAATCCGGGCATGTGCCCTTGACTGGAATCGAACCTGGGACCCTTCAGTCCACAGGCCGACACTCTAGCCAGTGAGCCACACCGGCCCGGGTGAGATCCTGTTCTTTATTCGTGGCTGAGAAACCTACACCTCTTGGAGCATGGAGATATTTCTGGAGGAAGTCACTTTGATGGTCAAGGTGGCGTCCTTGGCTTTCGCCTTTTCTCCACAATTTCGGAAGCAGCAAACTTGGACTAGTGCGCCTCTGTGAATCAGGGGCTGTCTGAGTCTAAACGGAGAAATAAATAGCCTCCCGCTGACACGCACAGAGGCACGGACCATCGCGGATATTGCACAGAGATGTGCCGATGAGAGAGGGGCCCAGTGTGACAGAGCCGGGATTGGTGGGATGGTGTTTGGGGTGGAGGGGGCCGAGGGACAGGCCCCAACCTGGCAGCACAGGATGGAACGGCCTGCGTGGTCAGCTGGATGGAGAGAGAGTTGGAAGTGGATAGAGTTGATTCGTTTTTTTTCGTCTGCTGATCGTTCCCCTGTTCCTCCCCCGCCCTCCTCCTGACCCCCAGCCTCCGTCTGTCCGCCACCCCCAGCCCCTCCATGCGCATCCTGCTCTCACTCCCTTCGTGGGCGGCAGCTGGCCGCTTGCTGCGAGCTTCCGTGAGATCGGCAGCGGTGCCGGTGCCGTGCTGCTGTATTTATAATTTTCCCAGAACGGATACGGTGGATGGGAGACGCTCATAGCCGATGCAACCTGGGCTCAGGCCCCTGCTCTCCTGCTAAGCACTTTTCTTTTTTTTTTTTTTAAATATATATTTCTTTATTGATTTCAGAGAGGAAGGGAGAAGGAGAGAGAGATAGAAACATCAATGATGAGAATCATTGATCAGCTGCTTCTTGCACACCCCCTACTGGGGATCGAGCCCACAACCCAGGCATGTGCCCTTGGCCGGAATCGAACCTGGGACCCTTCAGTCCGCGGCCTGATGCTCTATCCACTGAGCCAAGCCGGCCGGGGCTGCAAAGCACTTTTCTTACCAGACCCAGGCCCTGGCCCTGCCTGGGTGGGACCAGCCAGGCAGGCTGCACGGCGCTGTGTGCACAGGGTGGAACCGGATGGGTAGTGGCGGTGGATCCCCAACTCTGGTCTTTCTCCTCGTATTGACGAGATCGTCCATCAGCTCCGCTGTCCGGAGCCCCGCCCACTCGGTCCCTCTTCCTGACCCTTGTGATCAGTGAGGGCCGTTTGTCAAACCCGTGCGGGTCCCCAACCACCAGTTTGTCAAACCCGTGCGGGTCCCCAACCACCAGCTTCCTTGCGACGCCGTGAACCGCAGCCGTTTTACGTTCCCACGATAACGAGTTCTTTTCCCACGACCGCAGATTGCCGCATCCCTTTCATCGAAGATGCGGAGATCCAGAACAGGACCTACAGACACGGAGACAAGCTGAACATCACCTGCCACGAGGGATTCAAGATCCGGTACCCCGACCTGTACAACCTGGCTTCCTTATGTCGCGACGATGGGACGTGGGACAACCTGCCCATCTGTCAAGGTAGGCGACGGAAGCTGTCATTCCCGCCTCTTCTTCCCGTGGGCAGCGGTGTAGAGCGTGCGCACGGCTCTCTAACGCAGCGGTTCTCAGCCTGTGGGTCGCGACCCCTTTGGCGGTCGAATGACCCTTTCACGGGGGTCGCCTAAGACCATCCTGCATATCAGATATTTACATGACGGTTCATCACAGTAGCAACATGACAGTCAGGAAGGAGCAACGAAAATAATGTTATGGTCGGGTCACAACATGAGGGACTGTATTTAAAGGGCCAGAAGGTTGAGAACCACTGCTCTAAGAGCTGGGAAAGCAAAGCCCCCAGGCCGCCCACAGGGCCCCGCTGTCCCTTCCCCTTGATCAGCAAGCTCTCTCCCATCATTTCCTGGCGTTTTCTCCAGCTCCGTACACCAGGTTTTGTTTGTTTGTTTGTTATTGTGGTTTTTTAATATATTTTTATTGATTTCAAAGAAGAAGAGAGAAACATCAATGATGAGAGAGAATCACTGATCGGCTGCCTCTTGCATGCCCCCTACTGGGGATGGAGCCTGCAACCCAGGCATGTGCCCTTGACCTGGAATGGAACCGTGACCTCCTGGTTCATAGGTCGACGCTCAACCACTGGGCCACACCGGCTGGGCCGTACACCAGATTTAAAGTTTAAATGGGAACTAGGCAGTTCGTTAGCATGTTGGATGTCTTCCCTACTGGGAAAACGCAAGTAGGGTAAGAGTTACGAGGCTCAGAACTGGGCTGTGGACACGGTGATGAACTGCTGTGTGCTTAATGGAAGTAACAGAACATTTGTACTTATTTCAGTGGTGGTGAGAATATATTTCAAGCCAATCTTCCAGCGGCTACTTTCTCTTAATAATGCTATCCCTTTTTATAATGCATGAGGAACAGAAAAATAATCAAATTCTAATTCCGTCCAGACCGCACAGTGAATATTTATGCTCTCCCCTGTGTGTGTGTGTGTGTGTGTGTGTGAGTGTGTGTGTGTGTTTAAATTAGCCCGGACTGACATGCAGGGCCCTGTTTCTGCAACTCGGCCCTCAGGGTCACATTAATTCTGATTTTTGTTTTTCGACACGTGACTCGGACCGAAGGACCGAGAAGCCCAATGCATAATTCAGAGTTCGAGGCCGAGGGAGAGCAAGCTCCCTCGCCCCAAAGTCACTAGCTCGTTCCAGTCGAGACGGACGTTAACTTGGTGCTTGGGAACCGTAACCATAGGCCCTGACATTCCTTCTCGCGCCCCGTAGTAGGAGATCGATCATTTTCTTATGAGTCGCGGCCTAAGAGTCACGGCCCCGGAAGAAACAAAGGCTTTGGATAGCGACAGAGGCAGCCCACCCTCGCGCTCCGTGGTCTTTAGCGTGTTATATGTCGCGTTTTCCAAGGAGACACGTGGTTCATTTACACGTTCAGAGACAAATCCACAAAGCCAGCAGCTTGCTCCCAGGTGGGGCTATTTATTCAGATGAACTTTATTCACCACGAATTTGTTCCAGTCCCGTGGGCCCCTCGGAGTCATGGCGAGAAAGTGGCCTCAGACTCCGGCCACTTCTTGCTTTGATATTTTCTATTTGTTCTTCTCTTTCTGTTCCCTTTTATGTCACTTAAAGACACTATGCTTCTTTTTTAAAAAATATATTTTTTGTTGATTTCAGAGAGGAAGAGAGAGAGTGGGAGAGAGGGATAGAAACATCCATGATGAGAGAGAATCATGGATGGGCTGCCTCCTGCACGCCCCCCAACTGGGGATCGAGCCTGCAACCCGGGCATGTGCCCTGACGGGGAATCAAACTGTGACCTCCTAGTTCATAGGTTTATGCTCAACCCCTGAGCCATGCCAGCGGGGCTACAATACGCTTCTTTAGGTGACGTTTTTGCCCACCAAAGGCTGTCTGTCCCCTGCTCTGCCTGGCCACTCTGTCCCTCCCTTCCACCGCCCCTTACTCAAACCTCAGCCAAAACATGGCTTGTAGAGTTCTTGGACAACAAAAGAGCTGGCCGGCTGCTCTTGGGAGGCCTGGTTCCTCAAACATCACTGTGACCCACAGCCCCCCTCCTTCCTCCTCAAAGCCCTCTGTCCCCACAGAGGCGGTGCCCCTGCTCTGTGCCCGTCCTCCCGTCCACCCCCTGGCCTCGCTGATGCCCCGGCTTCCGTAGGCTGCCCATCCGCCCAGGCACGGCACGAGCGATGAGGACTTGGCTGCCTTAGACAGCCTGCCACCCCTCGAGCCCCCAGGGCGGGTATAACCGGCCCTGAGTGCCATTTGCTCTGTCACTTTTATCTGCATCTGTAGATCCAGGAGCTAACGCCCAAGGAGCCTTCTCTCTAGTCTCTAGACGTGCAAACGGAAACCCTCTTGAATCATTGAGCGGAAGCCCGTTTCTCCCTGTTACATTGAGACAGGCTGTTCCCAACCAAGAGGGCACATCACCTTCTCCAGTCAACTGCACGAGTTAGAACCCCTTCCATCTCCTTCTGGGGCGAGGGGAGGGGCTGCTCCAAGGCCACTGTTTTCCGTGGGAACCTTGTGTTTCGGAGAGCGGTGTCCCCACGCCTCCTGCTCACGGTGAGTCAGGGGAGTTCTTACTTAGGGGAAGGCAGTTAACCAAGCGGGGAGCTTAGCGCTATAGTGCACATTGGTCTAGGTCAGGGGTGGGCACCCTTCTTGTGAGTGCGTGCCCAAACCAGCAAAATCTCTGACTCAGAATTCTTCTGCGTGCCAACCCTAATTTTTTGAGAACATGTTACGCCTACTTGATATCTCTTAAGGTGGACGTATGTGAAGAACCTTGAAGAAATAATAAAATTCATTCGAGCGACAAAAACACAGTATATGATGGTGAAAAATACATTTACTTTTTAATGTATACATGTCCACTGATGGTCCGACAGAAAACTTTATGACTCCGTTTGATATTATCAGTGGGACTTTTGCTGCTGCATCACTGATGACAGAGATTTTACATCAGGTTTCTATTTCGTGACCTTCAGAGATATGCACGAGCTACTACTTTCATCCGTCAGGCTACTCCTATTACGAGACTTAACAAAATTCATCACTGAGAACAAAGATTCACAATTGTAAATGGAAGATTATAAGAGAGGGTTTTGCGTGCCAGCAAAAGTTACTGGCGTGCCATGTTTGGCACGCGTGCCAGGGGTTGCCCACCCCTGGTCTAGGTCTTTTTTTGTAGAGGGGCCTTGAACATCTGTGGATTGGGGTTTCCTCAGATCTGGGTATCCACAGGGGTCCTGGAACCAATCTCCCCCGTATACCGAGGGCCGACTGAACTTCTTCAGGGGTCAAGCTTATACATGGATTTTCAGCTGCGTTTGGTCCAGCGCCCCTCACCCCAGGTTCAAGGTCCACTGTCCACTCCCCCAAAGAGGCATGGGTACCATCTCGGTGCCAGCTATGCCCAGAGGCTCCAATAGGTTTACTTGTTCGAGGATGAATTTGCTTATCTTGTTCTCACTTACTGATTCCTTTTTTCCCCCATTCCCCACCTCCCCTCACACATTTCACTTTTGTGAACCTTGTCAGCTCAGAAAACAAAACAAACAAACAAACAAACAAAAAACAATAATCGTATAAGGCCCAGGGGACAGCCGGAAGGCTGGGCTGAGCCCACGCAGCTCAGATCTGGTCCGTCCTGAGCTCAGGCTGGTGGTGGGGGGGCGTCTGCTGGGTCGGTGCCATCACGGAGCAGAGCAGGGCCCCCCCAGAGGGAGTTCCTCCTGAAGTTCTGCCCCGATACCCAGACCCCGTGTGCTGGCTCGAGGACAGAAGCCATTTGCCGAGCAGCAGGCTCTTGGATGCTCCGTGTAAAACATCTAACAGTCCCTCGGAGAAGGGCTCCGGCAGCTGGTGGGATCTGTCCCTGGTGATTGGAAGGAACGAGGTGTTTGCGTGACACAGTCTTTACTTCACGCACAATTAGTTCTCGCCGGGAAGCGAGGCCGCTCTGCGGGGTCGTTAAACCCTCCAGTGACGCCGCCGCCGAGGCCATGAGACGTCCCACAGTCACCGCCATGCCACGCGGAACGGAATCCGGGCCGGGGACGTCCCCGGGGCTGCACGGGCTCCGAGACAAAAAAGGCAGCGGGTGTCTTAGAGAAGTAGGAGCGTGGCCTTGGGGCTCAGTCCACGCGGGGAGCACGCAGGTTCCCGGGGTGCAGGCTCACCGCTGCGGGGTTCTCGGAGCTGGTCCCCGCCTCAGGGATGCGAATCCTCGTGCCCACGCAGACCCCCCCCCATCTGGGTCTTTCTCAGGTTTGTGAACCACCGCCCCACGGGGTGCCTGGCCTACTCCACACCGAGCACAACGGGCTTTTCACAAGTTTCATCTCATCGCGCAGGCCTCAGTGCCGTGTTCTGCGAGGGCGGAACAGAGTTCGAGTCCCAACCTCCTCGACACCCCACCGCTGCCGTTGAAACAGCGGGGTGTCCTTTTCCTCCGTGGCACTCGGCGGTTGTCAGCCCTGACGGCACGGCACGTTAGGATTACTTGGGGAGCTTTCTTTTCTTTTCTTTTAAAAAAAATATATCTTATTGATTTTTTACAGAGAGGAAGGGAGAGGGATAGAGAGTTGGAAACATCGATGAGAGAGAAGCATCGATCAGCTGCCTCCTGCACGCCCCCTACTGGGGATGTGCCCGCAACCAAGGTACATGCCCTTGACTGGAATCGAACCTGGGACCTTTCAGTCCCCAGGCCAATGCTCTATCCACTGAGCCAAACCAGCCAGGGCTCCTTGGGGAGCTTTCAAAGCCATCAAGCCCTGTCCGGCTTGGCTCAGCGGTTAGAGCGTCGGCCTGAGGACTGAAGGGTCCCAGATTTGATTCTGGTCAAGGACACATGCCCGGTTGCAGGCTCGATCCCCAGTAGGGGGCGTGCAGGAGGCAGCCCATCAATGACTCTCATCTTTGATGTTTCTATCTCTCTTCCTCTCCCTTCCTCTCTGAAATCAATAAAAATATATTTTTTAAAAAAAGAGATGGGGGTGCCCAGGCTGAACACTGACCCTGGGTGTTTAGTAAGTTACCATCCTCCTCACTGCTCCGCACTCTCTCACTCTCTAGGTCAGTGATGGCGAACCTTTTGAGCTCGGCGTGTCAGCATTTTGAAAAACCCTAACTTAACTCTGGTGCCGTGTCACATAGAGAAATTTTTTGATATTTGCAACCATAGTAAAACAAAAACTTCTATTTTTGATATTTATTTTATATATTTAAATGCCATTGAACAAAGAAAAATCAACCAAAAAAATGAGTTCGCGTGTCACCTCTGACACGCGTGTCATAGGTTCGCCATCACTGCTCTAGTGCCATTTGCAACTGTAAAATCAAATTTGCGCATCACAAATAGAATAGGCAAGTCGATGAGTCTGAACTTCATAAAAAACATATTTTAGTGATTTCAGAGAGGAAAGGGTAGGGAGAGAGAGATGGACACATCAATGAGGAGAAAGAATCATGGATCGGCTGCCTCCTGCACACCCTATACTGGGGATCGAGCCCGCAACCCGCCATGTGCCCTTGACCGGAATCGAGCCGTGACCTCCTGGTTCCTAGGTCCATGCTCAACCACTGAGCCATGCCAACTGAGCAGGAATCTGAACTTTTAGGAACAAGGTGTTCATGGCTCAGAGGCCACGGTTAGGGTGGGGGAATCCGAGAGCCGGGTTTATCCCTTGGGTGGACAGAGACGACCGACTAAGACTTCCGCCTTTCGCTCTCCCTCTCCCCAGGCTGCCTGAGGCCACTGGCCTCTTCCAACGGCTACGTGAACATCTCCGAGTTCCAGACCTCCTTCCCGGTGGGCACGGTCATCGCCTACCGCTGCTTCCCGGGGTTCAAGCTCGAGGGGTCGGAATATCTCGAGTGCTTACACAACCTTATCTGGTCGTCCAGCCCACCGCGGTGCCTTGCTCTGGAAGGTAACACCTCTTATGCTTTTAGAAGGTGAATGTGGGGTGATTAGAGCGGGTGTCTCCATGGGAGGTGCAGAGCAGAGAACATGGTCGGCCCTAACTGTTCATTAAAGACATCCTGTTGGCCTCCATCCGGAGCCGAGGCACCAAGCCCGCTCGTCTGCCACGAAGCCACACTTATAACCAGACATGACACCTGCTTCCCCTACCCCCATCCTCGTCCTTAAGCTTAAGCAGTGGTTCTCAACCTTCCTAATGCCGCGACCCTTTAATACAGTTCCTCATGTTGTGGTGACCCCCAATGTCATTGTTACACATTGAACATCATTAAAGCATAGTGATTCATCACAAAAACAATATGTAATTACATATGTGTTTTCCGATGGTCTTAGGCGACCCCTGTGAAAGGGTCATTCGACCCCCAAAGGGGTCGCGACCCACAGGCTGAGAACCGCTGGGCTTAAGGGCTAAGAGAGAGAAGTTCCCAGCATCATCCACCGTTCAACTGCAGAATATTGCAAAGCTAGACGAAACGTCTTTCAAAAATTAGTTTTCTCTGCACCCAGTGGAAACAGATTGTCTGGGGGCGCCATTCATCTCACCCCTCGTCTTGTTAAGGTGCCAGTGTTTCTTCCTGTCCCCAGGCATTTTGTGGCTTTGCAGTAAGTATTTTCCACGGCCAGCCCACGCACGCAGAAGCCTGGACGGAGAGCTGTCTCCTCCTGTGCTTGTTCAATCGATGTGACTTTGGAGCGTGGTTCCGTGATAATCACTAATCAATGGTGTGAGGTCGGGGGGGAGGGGGATCAGGCAGGCCGGCGTCTGTGGGTGTAGAGCCCTAACTACTTCCGCCAGGCAAGCTGGCCGCGCTGGCTCAGCCCTCTTTTTCATTCGGGTTTTGAAATTATGATCGAAGAGAACAAACACCCATTTGTTTCTCGGCGTCTATTGAATACTGTAGGCGGGCGGGGGTCTGTACGGGGGAGAGAAATGAGAGGAAATTTCCAGTCGAGAGGCCATACAAAGCCTTTTTGCAGCCTTCCTTGGGAAATAAAACAAGACGGGAGGTGGCAACAGGCGCGTTCTTACAAGCAGCGTTTCCCCGGTGTACACCTCTGCGCAGAAGCGGTCAGAGGAGGCGGGTGTCTCGGCGGGAGGCCTCTGCAGGAGGCTTGGAGTGGGGGTGGCTGAGCCATGGTGCCATCTTGGCCAGGAGGCGAGGGGGGAGGGGAGAGGAGCCTGGTGCTCCAAGGAGACAGGGTGCCCAGCCTGGGCCATTCGTTTGGCCATTCCCCTGGGCTGGTAAGTGGAGCCCCACTCGCCCTCTCTCACTCATCCCAAATCCCTAAGGAACAGTGTCGGCAAACTGGGGCTCGCGAGCCACATGCAGCTCTTTGGCCCCGTGAGTGTGGCTCTTCCACAAAATACCACGTGCGGGCGCGCATGTACAGTGCGATTGAAACTTCGTGGCCCATGCGCAGAAGTCGGTATTTTGTGGAAGGGCCACACCCAAGGGGCCAAAGAGCCGCATGTGGCTCGCGAGCCGCAGTTTGCCGACCACGGTCTTAGGGTATTCAGCAAGGGTGAACTATCCGGAGAGACCCCCACCCTTTCCTGTATACCCCACGCTGGTGTCCCTCGTTTCTCTGCCTTCCTTGGCACACCACCTGACTTCTCCTGTCGGCGCCGGTGGGAATTGCTGCACGGAGCTGCGGGTCGTGGTGCCGCCGGGGCTTGAGATATCGTAGCGTGCTCTGACCCCGAAAGTGAGGGGTGTGGACAGCTGTGCATGGAGGCCTTTCTCCTTGAGCTTTTCATCCCTGTCTCTCTGCGAATCCAGCTGTCCGTCAGCTGTCAGGGCACCTGCCGCTGCAACTTCCCCGCCTCCAACTCCTTCTCTGACCCACTGAGAGCCGGGAGATGGGGTCGCCAGGGTGACGGCGGAGGCAATGGGGTGTATCGATTAAGAGTGTAGAGTGACAGCGCGCCGGCCGGGTTCAAGTCCTGGGGCACCTAGTCAGTCATCTGAGACGGGAAAGCCGCTGAGCTTCCATTGGCCTCCGTTTCCTCAGCCATAAAAGGGGGAGGTGACCGTCCTTACCTCGTGGGACTGTGAGGACCCAATGGGGACAGATGCAGCGCATTTGGTGAAGTGTCTGGCACGTAGTAGGTGGTCGATCAAGTGTCCATCGTGACTCTCACTCTAAAATTGTGTTCAGAGTCATAATAAGTAAGTGAGCCACTGGGCATGATGGTGTGAATAAAGTATCCAGGCTTTTTTTTTAAAAAAAAATATATTTCATTATTGATTTCAGAGAGGAAGGGAGAAGGAGAGAGAGATAGAAACACGAGTGATGAGAGAGAATCACTGATGGGCTGCCTCCCGCACGTCCCCACTGGGGATCGAGCCCACAACCCAGGCATGTGCCCTTGGCTGGAATCAAACCTGGAACCCTTCAGTCCGAAGGCCAATGCTCTGTCCACTAAGCCAAGCTGGCTAGGGTGTATCCAGGCTTTTTTAAAAAATATATTGGGGTGACATTGGGTATAAAGTTCCTAGGCTTTTAAAAATATATATATATATATTGATTTCAGAGAGGAATGGAGAGGGAGGAGGGAGAGAAACATCAATGATGAGAGAGAATCACCGACCATCTGCCTCCTGCACGCCCCACACTGGGGATGGAGCCCACAACCCGGGCATGTGCCCCGACCGGGAATGGAACCGTGACCTCCTGGTACATAGGTCGATGCTCAACCACTGAGCCACACCAGCCGGGCAAGTTCCCAGGCTTTGATGCATATACATCGTGACACTATTTTGGTAGCTCAGGTGCTGCTTGGGGTTGCTTGCATACTTGTAGCTGTGTTTGCCTAAGACGAATCCCAGGTAATGGGAGGAAATGCTGAACAGTAATAACTGCGTTCACTTTGAGGGCTTCACGGAGGAGTGTCTAATCTGGAGGGAAAAGCTCTGGCAGCTTCGGCAAAGGTGTGGAGCGTGTAGTATTTCGAGGTCCGGGCTGTTGCGCCCACGTTATCGAGGTGGGCGATCCGGACGCATGCATGTTCCCCACGGCTGTGTGGTGGGGGCCAAGCACCCGAAATCACAAAGGCTTGAGCCACAGTGTAGGGCAGTGATGGCGAACCTATGACACGCGTGTCAGAGGTGACATGCGAACTCATTTTTTTGGTTGATTTTTCTTTGTTCAATGGCATTGAAATATATAAAATAAATATCAAACATAGAAGTCTTTGTTTTACTATGGTTGCAAATATCAAAAAATTTCTATAGGTGACACGGCACCAGAGTTCAGTTAGGGTTTTTCAAAATGCTGACACGCCGAGCTCAAAAGGTTCGCCATCACTGGTGTAGGTCATGTCATTTAAGCACAGATGAGTGTCCATCCGGGCACCTGGAAGGCGCTGTGGGGCGCTGTGGGGCCCCGCGGGCTGGGCTGCCTCGCTGCGCGTCTGCGTGCTTTGCCTCATCTCTGTGTTTTAGTGTTTTCCAGTCTTCGTTTCTGAGGCTGTCTGTCTCTTTCACACGCACACACACGCACACACGGCACGCATGCACACACACACACACACACACACACTGAATCCAAGGACTCTTTTCTGAAAAGCAGCCTTGACAGTGACTGCGGGCGCATCCTCGTGTGTGAGTGCCAGGAACCCGGGTCGCGGTGACGTGGTGTTGATGGAGCACCTGCCGGGCCCGAGCAGCAGCGCGCTGGGGAGTCACAGAGGAAGGACAGGACGGGATCCCTGACTCTGAAGAGCTTGCAGTCCGAGGGGGGGAAGATGACAAGTCCCGTGATCTGGAAACGAGCTTCATTGCAGCCGGCACGTGGCAGGTTTTGGAGGCCTCCTCCCTGCTGGACACTGGAGGTCCCTGTCGCCCAGGACCGGTCATCCTACAATCGTCGTGAGAAACGCATGGTGCCCCTGGCAGATGAGGAAACGGAGGCTCAGAGAGCTTCCTTCCTTCCCAAGGTCACCTGCTCCCAAGTGGCCCAGCCTTGTGCCTCCTGAGCTCTCACCTGCTCCCCACGCTGCTCTCCTGGGCACTTCTGGGGCCCGGAGTGGCTGCTGGAAGCCAGGGGCTGGGGCCCAGCCTCGCTCTGCTGCTCGCTGGCCAGGGGTGGCCGGGGAGGAGCTGGGAGAGGTGGTCCCTGGAGCATCTCCCAGGCGGCCACATCCTTTGACTCTGCTGGGAATGGACACACTGTCCCCAGGGAGGCCGCCCTGTCCTCGGCTGGCTGTGGACGGCACAGCAGAGGCTGGGGGTGCCCGGGGACTCTCCCCTGGAAGCCGGCTGACAGTTTCCCAGGGAGAGGAACGGGCGCTGTTCAAAGGTCCTCTTGGCCCTGGGCCCTTCACTTGGAATTTATTTATTTCGCCTCCCAACAGCTCCAGGTATTACCGTGCCGTCCTCACCGATGGGGACCAGGCCCATGACATGGCCTCAGGGAGTGGGTCACAGAGTCAAGGGTGAAGAGCAGCCCTGACTCGACTCCCCAGCGGCACTGCCCTGGCTTCTAAGAATCTTCCCGGCTGCCCATGGCGACCCCTTAGTGGTCCCTGGACCCTGGACCCGTGTCAGAGGGATGGGAGGAGGGAGAAGGACACCCTCAACGGTTTGGCCCAAGCTGCGCTGCATGTGATGCTGACACTGGGAACTTCCCTCCCTCCCCCCTCCCCCCTCCCTCCCAGGTAGGGCTCTGGCAATGACCAGAGGTGTACTAAGTGCCCAGGGCCATTGCTATTAGGAATTCAAGTCCTGCTCCCCTCACCGGAAGTGATAATAGCAGCAGCCAACTGGTCACCCCCACCCACCAGAGCCTCCACCCGTCCATGGACCAACTGGCCAGGGCCATGGCCTCCTCCTCCTCTCCTGGGCTGCCAAGCGCCCTGTCCACTCGCCCGTGATCCTGGCAGCAGCTGGATTCGATGTGAAATCCAATCAGCAGAAGATGAAGACAAGAAAAACGAATGCCCCTTCTCCCCTTTACCCAGCATGGCAGTGGGGCCTCTATCCATGGGAAGGGGCAGGGAGGGCTCTGTCTGCTTGCCCCCAGCCTCCATCCTCTCTCCTCTCCTTAGCCTGAGGGAAGAGGTGTATACCAGGCCAGGTAACCCTTGGCCAGGTGGGCTTGGGCTCCTGCCCCCCACGTCCCCCTCACCCCCCAGGCCCTGAGGCCCAGGAGTTCTCTCGGAAGCAACGAGGCCGAGGTAGCTCTGTTCCAATTGCCCACCCCCGAGGGCCCTGTGCTACATACTGCGTTCCCACTGCGGGTTTATCTGAAGGAAGACTTGCCATTGTCAAGTACGAAGATCATTCATCCGCTTCTGCCTCCTTAGGAACTTGAGACCAGAGAAATGAAATGATTTGCTGGGTCGCAGACCGCCCCCCCCCCACCGTCCCCCCATCTCCTCCGACTCCAAACCTTCAAGTCGGCGAGCAGACAGCCCATTTAGAACCCGCATTTGGAATTCCGTGTACATGAGTCAACGTCTTAGGGGATTGTTTGCTGATCATATTCTCCAGAACGGAAGCGATCTTTCCTTCCCCTTTGCAGACGCGTGTGTTCTCTGGGCCCCAGAAGGGAGAAATCTTAGGGGCTCGCCCCGTCACGTCAGGGACATTAGCCAGGGAAGCCCTGTCTGTCTTGAAGGACACGAGGTCGTTCTGCAAACAGAACCGGCTCTGCCCTCTTGGCCCGTAGGTTGGTGCGTAGCACCCTCTGCTCTGTGTCCTGCCAACCTGTGTTTCCTGCAGATTCCTCGGTGTGACGCTGTTTGTATTATAACCGCCTTGCCCGTGACCCCAGCGGGTTTATTTTAATTTTATTTTATTAGAGGGAAATGCAAAGTCGCAGGCAAGCTCGTTAATGTATTGTTCACACGCAATGGTAAATTACTGCCATTCCTTCCCGTGTACGGATCATACATCACGGCACGGATCATACATCACGGCACGGCGATTACAGGGAAATGACTGCCTGCGTGTCACCGGCGTGTCGCAGGGACCACCGTGCCTCATTCTCTCTCTCTCTCTCTCTCTCTCTCTCTCTCTCTCTCTCTCTCTTACAAGAAGTAATTGCCACTGTGGCTTCTCCATCTTCTCGCTCACGCATCGCTCTTGTCCTCGAGGGTAGACTGTGCCTTGGCATCAAGCAGCGCCCTTCTGTTTTTTCTCGGTTGAATCTAGAGATGCTGATCTTCCTGTGCTGAGGAAGCCAGGAGGCCTTGCTCCTGTTTTTCAAGCCGAACCAAGTTTTCAGGCTTCCCTGCTGTTTCTTTCCCGGCTCCTTTTCCCTTGGATTTTATGAGCCCTGACCTGGAGGGTGGCCCTGAACTCCGCCCCCCTCTCTCCCCGTGCCCCCCGTCCACAGGCCTTCGCCCCTGGTCAGGTCCTCTCCGCACTTCGCCTTCCTTTAGCCTCACTGGAAACACGTGACCATCAGCCCTCCAGCTCTCTGGTGTCTTAGAAGTAGGCTGTTCTTACCTCGGTCACATGCAGGGACTTACACTGACGTTGAAGGAAGAAGAGAGGGGATTCTTCTTTCCACCGAAGGGAGCAAAGGTGGCAGAATTCTGGAATGACTTCTCCCACCAAATTAAGAAATGAGGACATCCCTCCCCCACCACACACTCACCTTCAGAGAAGGGATCCCCCAGGCTCCAGCCGGCTGCCCCTGCCCTCCATCCCTGGCTGTCACCGGGCAGACAGCCTGTTGGGGGGCCTCCATCGGCCCGGGGGCACAGTGGATCTGGGCTCAGGTGCCAGCCCTCATGTCTTCATGGCACCGTCTCTTGGGGGCCAGGCTTAGGGATGGGTTGACTCAGGAGTCGGTGAATAAATCTAAAGATGGAAAACACCTCTGTTCCTTTCGGTAAGCATTTTGCCCACAAGTATCTTAGTCTTATTTACTAGGTTGTCTGGCACCTAACAGCGTGCATTAGGAGTAGAGTAGCTCCATGCTCTCTATTGAGCAGGCACACTCTTGGCCATGTAAAGCGAACCTCCCTTTGACAAGGTGCCTTGTAAGACCGCGTGAGAGCAGCGGGCGCTCAGAAGGGACGGTCCCTGGGAGGACGCGCCAGCCCCGTGGCGGACGGGCCGGCGCGTCTCTCGGGACCGCGGTCACCCGGTGCGGAGGGCTTCCCACGCGGGGAGCACCTGGTACTCACACCCTTATTCTCCCCCACTGCCCAAGTCTGCCCGCTCCCTCCCATGGTGAGCCACGGCGACTTCGTCTGCCACCCGCGGCCTTGCGATCGCTACAACCACGGGACCGTCGTGGAGTTCTACTGCGACCCCGGCTACAGCCTCACCAGTGACTACAAGTACATCACCTGCCAGTACGGGGAGTGGTTTCCTTCTTACCAAGTCTACTGCATCAAGTCAGGTGAGCCGCCCGGGCCCCGGGGCCAGGCCCACAGAAATGACACTGTGGGTTAGACGTGCTGGCGCTTAGGAACACATCAGCCGTGTGCAGACTTCAGTACCTGCTAGTTAATAACACATTACCGGCAAACCACGGGCCTCAGGGTTCCAGGGTACAGAGACCGGAGCACCAGCGACACCCACCCACCGTCTCCTCCCTCCCATCCCCTTCCCCCACCACCCTGGGGTTTCCCAGGGGCGCCCCTGGCCACCTGCCCTGAGCAGTGGGGATGCTGCACACTTTCCCCCTGGGCACAGCGTGTGAGGGAAGCTTCGGTCAACACGGGACCCGGAGGCCCACCGGGGTCATGGGAACCAGCCGGAGGAGCAGTGCAGGAAGGCCTACGGGTCGCTTCTGAGCAAGACGAGAGGAGGGAGGCCCTAGCCAGTTTTGCTCAGTGGTTAGAGCTTCGGCCCTCGGACTGAAGGGTCAGGGGTTTGATTCCGGTCGAGGGCGTGTACCTCAGTTGCAGGCTCCATCCCTGGCCCTGGATGGGGCGTGGCAGGAGGCAACCAATGGATGTGTCTCTCGCACATGGATGTTTCCTTTTCTGTGTCTTCTCCCTCTCCCTTCCACTCTCTCTAAAAATCCCTGGGGAAATGTCCTCGGGTGAGGATTCACAAACAAACAAAAAGATGAGAGGAGGGAGGAGGAACCAGCAGCCACACAGGGCAAGTGCAGAAGATTGGGGGGGGGGGGCGCTTGTGGCCAAGGGCAGGACTCTGTTTTGGGGGTCGGCCCTGGCCTCCCCTTACCTGGAGCATGTGACGGCCATGCCTCTCTGCGGCCCTTCCAGCTTCCGGTTCTTTCTCACCCCACCCCACCCCACAGTCCATCCCAGACCCTCACAAAGGCCCTTAGCTCAGCGCCTCTTCCCTGCTCCTGGACACGACTTCCCCAGGGGAGGGGCCCCTTCATTCTCGGCCCGAGAAGCAGGCTCTCACGGGTCTGGAATGGGCGCATGCAGGCCGCCCTCCAACCTGGCAGACCGCTGGGGCTGGGTTAGTGCTGTGGGTCCCGAGGCCACAGGCCAGGTGCGTGGGAACCTTCACCACACCAGGTACAGTTCCAGGAGCCTCGTGTGCCCCTGTGATCTATCTCTCTGTCTGTCTCTCTCTCTCCCCCCCCCCCCC